GTGAGATTAGCCCTTTTTCACCTGCTCCTCTGGCACACAGGCGCTTCTGGTGTTGAATGATACCTTTGTGATCAATACCCTCACGTGAGGGGCTCAGATGGTCTTCCATACRCTTCTAATCTTGGTTGGTTGGGGTGTATGAAGTTGTTTGTTTGTTGTTTCCTTATCTCCTCCAAAATCACCTGGTATTTAAGGTCTAAAGCTCTGGCTGTTATTCTTGTTTGCTTCTTGTCTAATTTTTGGGGTGTCCAGCTTTGGATTACTTAGCCTTGATTTCCAGCTCCTCTGAAAATGGGAGTCTTGCAGATATTTAACTGTTGTGGCACCCAAAAGCAGGAGTAAACAAAATGATTAGATGCTCCATGTTTTCATGAGGGGAGCTAATTCCATGTCCCTTATGTGTGTGCATGGGCTTGTGCTGTGTTTTTTCCTGTGTCTGTCTCTATAAAATCTATTTTAATCTGAAAGTTCTAATTCTGAGGTCTGTTATTATGCGGTAATATTTTTCATTATCTCTAGTAGCAAACTCCTTTTTAGCGTTTAATGTTTGGCATAGCTTGGATAACTTTGGCTGGCTAAAAACCCTGCTGAAACCACATCTACATTTCTAAGGTCTAAATACACGTAAACAACTGATGAGTTATGCTCCCTGCTAATTCAATCCATGATGTTTTGGATCCCTCTGAGTGCATTGACCGGTGGCTGGGCAGTCAAGAATTGTTAAAATGCAGAGTGAAACTAGGCAGGAGAAGAAAATATAGCAACAAAGTGTCTTCAGAACAGACGACAAATTTGTTTTCTCTTTGATTTCCATCTAGCTCATGTCTTTTCCACTAACAATTTCTTTCCCTGCGTAGTGTGGGAAGCTGCAGTTTTATTACTTCTGTATTTAGACTTTAGACTCCCACTGCCCCTTATGAAGTGGTAATTGCTAAAGCCAGTTTTTCTAAAGGCTGTTTAAAACCCTGAAGTTTGACATGAAGTTTATTGACCAGTAAATACCATACGAAGTATTTAGGCAAGAGGTAGATTGATTATTGCCACTGGGTGTTGCTGTTGGTGGTAGAGCTAGGAGGATATTCAGAGATACTYTGAGAGTGTGGAAAACAAGCGGGCAGTCTCCAGAAATTAAGATAATGCTCAAGGGCTAAGGAAGGACCGAAAAGACCTTCCTACCTCTTTAGGAATCYGTGGTGGTTCTCTCAGAAATGCTTCTAGACAAAAACAAGGTTGGAGGAATGTATTTTTCACCCGCCCTAAGCAGTATTTTGTGCCCCTGGTGCAGCTGGCCTSACCTCAGCTGGAAGCTGGAGTGAGTTACTGCTCCGTAGGATCCATTTTGGGGGAGAAATATGTGGAAGCTGCTGGGAAGCGGCTCCTTTCTAGAAGCCATTTATAATCCGTGCAGCAAAAGGGTTCTGTTAGCAATGGGTTTCGAAGAGGAACAAATAAAAGCCGAAGTCACTCGGGTATGACTGGAAGGCAAAGAGCCTCCTGCACTGATGGTGCAAATCGGCRGTGACCTTGGGCTGCTGCATGACTCCTGAGCCAGGAGCCCAGTGGATAAGCGGTGTCAGCAGCAGCTCTTCTGTCCTGTGAAGGTGAGAGCCTCCTTCCCGCAGCCCTCAGGAGACAGCAGGAAACTTCCCCTCTAGACCAGGGTCTCACTTTCTGATTGTCCTTGGTCACTGGGAAGGTGATTGCCAAAGCTCTCGGCTTTGTCTTTTACTGTAGACCCACGTGAAATATAAACCTGGCATAGTCTGAAATACGGTAGCAATTACTAGACTGGTTTTAGCTGAAGACAGAATTGCATAGGTGTAAATTGCAGATCATGGTGCCCTTGGATACCTAATCTGTGCCTGTGTCTGTCTCGTCTGATGAGTGCCTTTATTTATTCTCTTTTAGCTGCTTAGTTTGTGTTATGCTCAGTAGGATAGCACGTTCCCGTGACGCTTTACCTGACGGAAACAAATGCAAATTATTTAAAAATATTTTTAGTTTGCTGATTTGAGAGGAAGGTGAGGCAGCAAAGCAGTTTGCTGAGGCACACGTTCTGCATCAGAGTAGTTACCCGCAAGTCTGTCCAAGATGCTTGCAAAGGGGTGTCGATCTTRCATCAAATGATCTATTCCTGATTTGTCCGTCCTTGCAGTGTCTGCRTGGAAAGGCTGTAGGTTATGTCCTTCTGAAGGACATCATTATAGTACCTTACATAGTAAAGCAAGTCGATTTGCAGCTGGACATCGCTGCAGGGGTTAAAAACCGTCTCAGTGTCTTGGGGTGAAAAATACCTATTAATCAAGCAGTTAAAATGTTGTTTCCTGCACAGGTAACCCTGCTTCAACATTTTCACAGCTCTGCCGCCTTTGCCTATTGATTCATCTGTTTGACCTATCTTAGATCAAACGTTTTCCCCTCCGTCTTTATATTTAAAATGAAATTATTTCCTTTGAAAGGCTGTAAAGGCTCCTTGGTCACTGTGGATGGGCAAAAATAGATAAGCACATGTAAGGACTCTTAAATTTCTTTCAACGTAAAAATCGTTGAGGAGTGAGGAAGGGGATGGGACTGAGCCCTAGGGCTAAAACAAGCTCTAATTGCAGCTTCCCGGCTCCGAGACTTCGCCCTCAGTATCTGTCTGTCACGAGATGCTCTGTCCTTGTCCTTCTGATTTTGCTTCTGGCGTTCCTCTAAGAGAATAATGTCAGGATCTCGGGAGTCTAGCGCTGCAGAGACAGATATGCTCGAGTCGAAAAACTTCATTTACAGGAGAAAATCCAGCTGTGGTTTTAGCTTRTAGTGAAGGGCCACCCAGCAATGGGGAGTGAGAGCTCTGCGTGTGCCCGGTTTCTCACGCGGGTGCCAGTGCTGGGCAGACCTGCCTAAAACACTGATAACTCTCGGCTTGGGCCAGAAAAGAGTGTTTTAAAATTGTCTCATACCTGATGTGCCCTCCAGTGCCCTCATCCTGGCAGTTTGTTTCCCAGTGGACCCAGCAGAGCAGGACGACAGGCAGCGCTCGGGGACATCTGGGGACCCCAAGACCCTTTCTGGCCTCTCCCAGTTGGCTTTAGCCACGAGCGGGATGTTTTTGATCCCTTCTACAGCTCTCGGTGCTCCAGTGTTTTGTGGAGAGCTGCCAGCCATTTAAAGATTTCATCTGATACAGCCATTTAATAAAATTGCTCAGTGCTTGAATTAATGTTTTCCCCCATTTTTTGCATTTTTATATGCTCCGTTCCCTTGGCTCTGAGGAAGTGCGATGTTGAATAATCACCTGCTCCATAATAAATTAGTGTGAAAAGGCAACGAGTGCCATGCATCTGCTTAAACTGCTGTCTGGTAAAGTTGCATTAATGCGTATAAATAATGTATATTTTTGCAGAGGAAGTGCTTTGTCTTTCTAATGAACACTTGGCTGATTGGAGAGGCAGAAAGACCTATACCCTCGCTAAAAAGGTTTTGTTTCACTCATGCCCAGAGTATGGGAGTAGATTGATGATCCTCTAGCTGTGAGTAGGAAATACCTCATTTTGCAGAGTTACTCTGAGGGATTTTGAAAGACCTTGTGCTGAATCAGCCAACAGATGACTTTGTGGCTTGGCAGCTGATCCCTCTGCCACCTCAGGAAGAAAGATCAGCGTTTTCTTTAATATGTTTTAATGTTTTAAGGCCTGATGCAAACCATACAGTTGCCATTAGGCAGCCAGTTGTTCCATTATTCCCTTGTAATAGCAAGCGAGCGTTTCCCTGTATGTTTTGGTTGGAAAGTGGCTCAAGGAATAACAGTGATTGCTGACTAATTAGCAATTAAACCAAGGCGGCAGCGATACTGGCATTTAACTGCAGTCGAGATAAGCCATTCAATTAAGACATTTATTAAAGCTCTAAAAATGAACACTTCTTTGCACACAGAGGCCCCAAGTTATTTCGCCTGTCCTTACTTCCCACGGCAGGTGGTTGGTGAGAGCAGGTGGCACGACCAGTCGCTCCCGTTTTTGCTTGAGGAATCTGTAAACCAGCATTTCCAGGGAGTTTTGTGGGAGTCTCCAGGATGGGAGAGGAAGTAGATTGGTGCTGAGGTGAATGTAGGAGTCTCTTGCCTCAAACTCTTTAGCCTTGCACTAAAATCTTGCCTGTTCTGTGGGTTGTAATGTTTTGTAAAGGACATGACTGGATAGTCTAGACTGTCCCAGGCCAAAACTGCCTCGTTAACAGGGTGAAGCTCCTCTCTGCCCGGCCTCAGCAGGCTGGAGAACAGCAGAGACCCAATTAAACAGAGGGCAGGTGGAGAGGGAATTCAGGGCTGGAGAACTTGTCCAGAGCAGCCCGACATCTTCACGTGTGCAGTGCAACTTGCACCTGCAGCTTGCATCAACTGATGCCCACCCCTTGTCACCTGCTGTGTTGTGTGTTCTTGGGGTTTCTGCCTTAGYAGAGAGACCTGTGAAACCCTCAGCATGGCTGAGACTCAGCCTGCTTGCTTATAAATACTTTATTATAGTGCTTTATTATTAYTATTATCRTTATTGTTGTTATTATTGTTGTTGTTATTATTTTATGGAACTTCTGTCAGTGGTTATTTTCTTTGCTGTTTTTTTTTTCCTTCTGTCTCCYGTTGTCGAGCAGAAGGAAGTTTAGTTGTAAGAAAAGAGAAGGGGAGGAGAGCTCTGCTTCTCTTGCACTGCAACATGGTCTTTCTTTCCTAAACCTGCAAGATGAGGTATGCAAGAAACAAACTGACTCAATGGGGAAGCGTTTGCTGGTCCTTATACACGCTGTCATTCTAAATAGAGCATGGACTGTAAAATAAGCAAAGCATCCAGTAGCCAGTAATTCATGGGTCCCGTCCAGAGAAGAAGCCAGCAGCCTGGAGCAGAACAGACCCACCTTTCCTACTGAAAAAAAGTGACTCTCAGGGAAAGCGAAATCCCCGCAGATTCGAGATCCTTTCTGTACTGACGCCAATATCTGTTCTTCTTCCATCTCCCCGCTAGCTAAAGACATGGAGCGTGGATGAGCTTCAGAGGAGACTCACAGCGCTCGACCCCATGATGGAGCAGGAGATTGAAGAAATCCGCCAGAAGTACCAGTCRAAGCGGCAGCCGATCCTCGATGCCATCGAAGCCAAGAAGCGGCGGCAGCAGAACTTCTGAGAGCCACCAGCACAACCTCCTGCCATCCCCAGCACTCAGCTCCTTGCTTTTGTGACTACTAAAACAGATGGATTTCTATTGAAATATGTCAGCGAAATAGAGGGCGATACTTCTGCTCGTTTATTTTTCCATAGCACCTTCGTGAACTCAGGAATGCCATTGGAGTGGGAAGTCCTGACGGAATATTTTATGTTAGAGAAGTATTTAAAACATTGTTTTGAAGGAGTCTTGTTACTGCTTTTAGGTGGGTTGTTTTTAAAACAGAGGAACAGCAAGGAATAGACTGATGAAAGTTGGCACGCTCTTTTCAGCAGAACTTTCAGTAGTCCATTCCCTTGTTTTATGTTAATATGAATTGTGGTATTTAATGGCTTCATCTCTTGTGGTTTTTTTATATATTTTTTGAGAAAGCACTCAAATTCAAGATTCAATTTCAAGCTGTTAACTCTTATCTTTCTACTGTTAAGGTACTGGTAAGTTTTAGGTSACTGAAGAAAGTAGGTGAGAACATGTGCAAACTGCTCCCGCCTCTTTTGAAAGAAAGGTAAATCTTTTGTTTTTTGTTAAAGCCTGTGATAAGCCCCATGCCTTACACCATATGCTTTAAGCAAATGTGGTTTCTTCCAGACCTCAGTTTTGTCCTTTTTTTGTGTGTGTAGTTTATAAATTAATACTAGCAGATAAAAGTATGTGGTGCCTCCATCGGAAATTCTATTCTGTGATTTAAAATTCACACTTACTTAAAACCAAAAGCTAATGAGTGATCTTACCTGATACAAAGCAGATTCCCTGCCCGCTGTCTCTATGGAAATGGCCTTCAGTGAGACCCTGCTGACAGTGGAGTCCTGGAAGAAGTACTGCAGTATTACAAGGGGTGGAAGTTGTGTGACCCTCTCTCAGGAATTAGGTACTTCTGCCCTGTGTACCAGAGGACTTGAAAAGAAAATCTCCACTAATTCACTATAGTGAAATAGTTTGTAGACTTCATCATTTCAAATTTACCTCATTAGGTGCTTGAACAAAAATATGATTTCACAATCCTTTACATTTCGACACATCAGGAAAGTTCAACTGAAAATCATTCCTAAGGCCAGTGGTGTGTGTTTGGGGGCGGAGTGAATGTGGAGTGAATCTGGAGGAGGAAGCAGCTGCCATCCTCATCCTCACCTGCTAGCAAAGGGAAATTTAGCCTCTCCCCCTTTCCTATGATGCTCCCTGTGTTTCTCTATAAAACTCCCTGCCGTTTCGTATAGCTGAACTGATGAGAGTACCCGTGAGAAAGCAGCTGGCATGAGGCTCGTGCCCTTAACTCACACGGGCAGGAGGGARAGCGAAACACAAGCACCAAAAGTGGCCTGAGTTGCAGGGCGGCGCGACCAAGTGATGCGTGGGCTCGATGGGCTGCAGCTGCAGCAGTTTGTAAAGCTCAGAGGGGATTTTTTTATGTGCCGAGTGCATGATTAAGTATCTGGCAAGAGCAAATACTGCTACTGCTTTATTTTCATTTGCTCTGATAGAGGGAACCGTTTCCACGTCACTCTTCTGCAGTGGACCCTGGTATGTCAGCCAGGTGATTAAGCTAAATAGCAGCGTCACCTGATTCAAACGGTGCTAGAGAGGAAAAAGGTTCTTTTCTCACCCCTGTAGTTTCTTGGCTGCTGTTAMCAGGTAAACTCCACTGATGTGAAAGGAACCAAGCCATTTTTATCACCTTTGAGGATCCGATTGTGTGAGTTCATCTCTGATGCACAGTGCTAACACATCCATTTCCCAGATCAGCAAACCAGCTCTCCCTAAAGGAGGAGGGAAGCAGCAAGTGGTGAGTGTGTGTAGGGGACTGAGGTAAGAATACATCGCGGGATAATCAGCTGTTTGGTAGCCTCAAGTAGTGGGAATGCTTTAGAAGCGCTTAGTGTCACCTTGCAAGCCAAATAATTAAAAACCTTCATTATCAGAGGGCTAAAATCCCTTAGCCATGAGCATCCAGCAGCTAAATGTGCCGTGAAATCTCACGAAGTGCTGTGCGAGCAACAGGACCATGTAGCTCTTGTTTGGAATCTGTGCAATATGCTTGGCCCTAAGTGTTGGTTTATAACGAGCAGCATTTCGGAGAGCCCTTTGCCTCAGAGAAACCCACAGAGCTAAGAAGGGAGTTTTGCATTTGGGTAGTGGCTCATGAGTTAGTCACTTGGATGGGTCTCGCCGATCCTGGTTGTATCCTGCTCTGGAGCTGGGTCTGCTCTGGATGCAGCTCTGCTTGATGAGAGGCACCAGGCTGGACAGCTCGTGCCAGGCCAGATGAATCCCAGCCTTTAGAGTGGGCATGTTCTTGTACCCGCTGTGATAGACGTGTGCTTGTGTGTGACGTGGAGAGCTGAGYGCGCTGCTCACGTGGCTCGAGCACGTTCTGCCAGGAGTGGTTTTACCTTCGCACTGTGCAGGTAACCTCATAGTGACCAGAGGGCATTAGTAAACCCAAGTGTTAAGTAAAACACCACAGGGTGGTGTGTGTTTCTGGAATATGCAACCTGTGACTGCTGTAACTGAATGTAAGCACTGCTGAAATGCTCTGCCTTGCCGAAGCGATTGTCTTAAAATACAGCAAATGAACCAAAATAAGTAATACTGGTCCAATGGCTTAATTGTCTTTGAACCTTTCTTAAATGCTTGCAATAGTTGGGACTTGATGAGAGCTGTTACACTAGGAGCTCCAATGCAGAGGATTTTTTCCTCCTTCACTGACTTTCAATTGCAGCTAGAGAAAAGGATTCCCTTTCTGGTCCCTTTGGAGACTCTCTGGGAGCACAGGACCTCCTCAGAGCCTTCTAGGCTAAGACCAAGGCTCTTTGGACTGTGCTTAAGCAGAATGTTTGTTTAATTATGCAGCTGCATTCGTGTGCTCCTTGAGTCTCTCTGCGTTGCTGATGGACAAACCGTTACCTTTGCTTCGATAGCCCAGAGATACTGATGATGTCAGTCATGTGAGACTTAATAATGTGAAGTTTGTAGCTTTACCTTTTTTTTAAAAAAAAACCAAATTTGCAACACTGGCATAAAGTGCTGACTTGAAATGCTATTTTGTAAGATCTGGCTGTTTGTATATACTAGCGTTGGGTCATTAGTTTGTATATGTATGAAATAGTAACTTTTATTGCATTCCTCTCAGTTTGATACAGGAGATTGTTTGATCTTTCTCAAATATCTTGCCTTATTTGTTCCAAAGGGCAAATAAACTGTCCTTACTGAAAGTATCAGTGTCAAGACTAATACTTGTGTGTGAATATTATTGCTCATCAGGACAAGTTTTATCATGGGGACCTTATAATCAACTAGTGTTATGCAGGACTCCAGAGGAGTATACAAGCATTAATAAACACAAGCAGTAAGAACGAGAAGTGTCAAAATGTGTTTTTCAGCAGGAAATTCTCTAGCTTTAAAGCATTACAAATCCCACACTTCAAGGCGAGGTGTGTAGATGATCTGTGGGGTTCAAGGACATGTCTCCGTATTGCCAGTTCTGTAGAAATTCAGCAAGGTGAGGTGGAATTTGGGGATATTTTCCCATCGGTGACGAGCACCGGCAGCAGTTCCTCATGCAGGAGATTCACTTGCTCCAACAGGGGCAGATGGCAACAGGAAACTTTGCTGGAGACATTTGCTACCCCTGCTCGGTAACTTCACACTGCAGGAACGTTGGGAGCCAGCAGTTGGTTTAGGGATTAGGTAGAGAGCAGTTCATTCACCTTCCCACACACAACAGGTGAGGCTCGAGTCTGTCCCTGCTAATTCTGGCTGRCTTGCTGCGCTTTCAGCTTTCTGTCTCGAGGAACATGGAGTTGACAGCGAGTGGGTGCTGCCTTCCATTGGTGAGCTGCTGCCTTCGACGTGGTTTCCCTGAGAAGTTGCTAAATCTGTCCTCAAGGGATGACTAACCAAAGCAGAGACAGAGCTCACTCAGGAGTCAGCTCTGCTTAGCAAGCCTTGAAGAAACAACATGAGATCCGAGCTCCGAAATGCCAGGAGCAAGGTGGGATTTGAAGAGGGGCAGACTGTAATGGCATTTCTAGCAACGGGGGAAGCCTGGAGCACACACCTTTCGGCACAATGTTACCAGGACACCGTGGAGCACGGGCACATGGGCTGAGGCCACAGTCACATCGTGTTGTCACCCGCAAACTGCTCGCATGTGCTCGCTCTCTGCTGGGAGCAGAAACACTAATTGCAGGTAAGTAACTACAAGTCARCAGCTGACAAGTGGCCATGAGTTGGCGCTAGCAGTTAGCCAGGCTTTTCCACCATGATTTTTGACTCAAAGGGCTAAAAATAAATAAATAAACTCACCTCCCCAAGCAGACGTAGCACTGGCAGCCTCTGTCCTCCTMCGCTATTAGCTGCCAGTGCTGGGGCCCAAGTGTTGCTGTGCAGAGTCCTTTGTGCCCAGCCACTTTCTCACACCCTCGTTTTGTCCCATTTCCTCCTGTCCACAGGCCAGAAGAGCCTGAGCAGGCACTTAGATAAATGCCTTGAGTGTTGGCTGACAGCCCTGACTTGAGAGTTGATGATTTTTCTTTGCATCAATCACACTGGCAAAAATTTGAGAGAGTCGAACCAGGAAACACCCATCAGCTATTTCCAGACTGAAAGTGACTTAATTGCCCTTTAATTTAAGAGCCCAGGAAAGCAGCCAACCTGTTTGAAAACTTTCACACGATTCAAGTCCATCTACGAAGCACAGTCTGTTCTGCTCCCTTCAGGGTTGCTGTTGAATTCCGTAGAGCACTGGGGCTGGAGGGAGCCCGGGGTCCCCGAGCTGCCCTCGAGGCCCTTCCTGAGCCCATCTCAGGGTAACCCCTGCAGGGCTGAGCTGTGGGGTGGCCCCAGGGCTTTCTCACTGCCAGGAGAAGGGATGAAAATGTGATTACAGTGTGAAAATACTTGAATTATGGCACTTTGCCTTTATTGGTTTCCATGCATAATTCAGACACGGGAAATGCAAACCTCACCAATTTAATGTTTACATTCTCAAGCAGCCAGCTCTGACTTTTGTCTCCATAAATTCATTTGAAATCAGCAGGAAAGTCTGCAGATAGCACAGACACCAAAAGCGATGTCAGTGAAGAGTCCTTCATTCCTACAGATCAAGTCCTTTAAGATCTTTCAGTTTTCCAGTAACGAACTGAGTGCATGGCCCTGATTTCRCTGCTCACAAGAGAGAGACAGCAAAGGAAAAAAGTTCTACACAAAACAGTGATGGTGACAGCGCACTGGAACAGGCTGCCCAGGGAGGCTGTGGAGTCTCCTTCTCTGGAGATCTTCAAAAACCCCTTGGACGCAGCCTGTGCCCTGTGCTGTAGGTGACCCTGTGTGTGCAGGGAGATTGGATTAGGTGATCTCTAAAGGTCCCTTCCAACCTTAAGGGTTCTGTGATTCTAAAAGCAATAAAGTTTACTTTGTCTCTTTAATCAGAGTTGTCTAATTCTCAACTGCATGAAATAACTTAATAAGGTTGCTCCTTACTCATCATCCCCTGGAGCCAAAAAAGTTGCTCTTTCATCAATCATTTTTGAGCGTGGCGAGCAGCTTTTTTAGAAATAACCTGCTAAAGTGTATAATTGACTTACCCACTCTACAAAATGAAAACATGGTCCCTCTCAGGAAAACTGCTGAGGGATTAGCAGAGGAATATGCATGTGTTGCCTGACGAGCAGCGAGGCGGGCCGTGCTGGCAGCCCGTGCGGGCACGGAAGCGCCTTGGGAACAGCGGCGTGGGATGCGATCGGCGCCCGCCTTGGTGCTGGGCACCCAGACCTTCCTGCACTGATCTCTGCAGAGCTCCGGTGCTGCTGGATATATCTGCATGGTGGTGGGAGGATTCTCCTCGTACGGTTACTCATAGCGATACAAATCCTAATGTCTTGACAGAGAGCAGGCGGCTAAAAAAAGAAAATATCCTTTAGAGTCTTCCCCAGCCTCAGCCTGGAGCTCTCTGCAAATCAAGCCCCTCTCAAAGCCAGCAGCTGCTTGGAGCAGCTACAGCAGCTCCTCCAGGAGGGACCAGCTTTCCCTTAACCCTCAAGTCAGGACAGATTTTTGCTTAGGACGACTACCACAAAGTGATTTTTTTTTTTAATTAACAAACTCCCAAAGGAACAAGGATGAATCTCTATTTTTAATCTTCCTCTTCTATTGCAGCTAGCTCCAATAGCAGCTATTGCAGCAGGAAGCCCTTCCCTTCCTACCTGCAAAGCCTAGAGAGGCAGCCTGAAGACCCAAACCCGTCTGCTCRGAACACCCTAGGGAGCACTTAACCTACCAGGGGCTAGTGCCGCCTTTCACACCCGCTCCAGGAAAGAGGATGAACCCCACACAGCACACAAACCGCACACAAAAGCCCTGCTTGCTGATCAGCAGCCGCCTCCTTGAAGCAGCTGGTGGTGGGAAGGTAGCTGGGGAGAAGCCTCCTRTGAAAGGGAGAGCCTCTTCCCTGGGGGACAACGGGGGACCTGCTGGGGTTGCTCTGTGGCATGGGCTGCTCAGGACAGCTCCRAGCAGGCTGAAAGCCCCTGGTAGCTGCAGGGCTGTTTCCTTAGGCAGCCCGGTGCTACATGAGGCTTTCCATGGGGCTCTTCTAAGCCTGCTTGCAGGAAGGGCTATGGATACTTCTGCGCCAGGTTAAAAGCCACRTTAGCTGGAGACGGGCTGTGATAATGCAGGGAGAGCTCCCTTCCTGGGAGAGCTCCCTTCCCGGGAGAGCTCCCGTGCAGCTYGGCGCCTGCTGGGAGCCAGGCTGGACTCGCCTTTGCAGTAGGGAGAGCAGCTGCAGCTCTGGGTGAGAACAGCCATGACTGCGAACACAAAACCCGCTTCCAAAGTGGGTCACGGAGATCTTTAATAAAATATACAGTATGCATCCCATGCATAGATAGAAAATTAATTTACATGCTCTTTTAATTCTTTGCATAATACTTTTAATTAATACATGTAGTTGAGTTTTCACATTTTAATACATGTTGCTACTGGAATATTTATGGAGAGAAGGGGAAATTCCTTCCTTTATTCAAGTAACAGTGCAGCAGGAGCTGGTCCGGCACAGATGAGGAGAGCTCGCCGGGCACAGCTCGCAGCAAGAATGAGTGCGGGTTGGACCACAAGACGTCGATATTGGAAGACTCAATGACGCCAGGAGTGTGAGCACCGTCCCTTCGCACGCTGCTCTTCCCYGGGGACCTCCTCGCTGTGTCATCCTTGGATCGGATACGCTGGATCCGTGCTATCGTTGGCTCATCTTAACCTCCTACCCTATCACGATGGGTAGAGCCCTGACTTGCCACCCGTGCAGCCCCCACACGGTGCCTGGACAATCAGTTGCAAACATGACAGTCCAGGTGACTGGGGCCATCTTGTAGCCACCAGGTTATTTCCAAGCTCATTAAGTAACTGCGAGGAGCACGGTTGCTCTGGTARAACAGGTCTCGCTTGATGTACTTCACTGTGCAGAGAACCAGGGATCGAGGAGAAGGTCCCTAAGGGAATGAACGTGGTGCTAGGAGCAGCTCAAGTCTGCTCAGCCCAAATGCGGATCCATCTGGGAATGGGCAGGAGCTCTGGCTGCCATGTGAGGGGCACCGGGTGGGCTCCCTGCCCTGCCACGAGGTGCTYGGGCGTCTTGGTGGCAGGACCCACATTGTGACCAGCGCAGGGAGCACGGTGCTCCACAGCAGAGCTGCCCTGTCCCTCTCTCCAGCAGACACTGGAGAGGGATGACACAGCAAAGCCAAAGTGGGCCAGTTTTATGGCAAGGGGGACCAGGACACACATATAAATCTGTCTATATTGGTTTACGGGCCATAACTTTTTCCCCATTGCCTACCAGGGAGCTAAACTGCCTGAGCTCGTGGGCTGGAAGAGGTTGGGGCTGGAGTTTGCACCCAACTGCCTTGAGAGGTGCAAGGGCTGCCAGCGTGGTGTGAGGGACCATGTCACCTTTCCCGCTTGGGAAGCCTCCTTTGGAGCAGGAGGTGCCTGCGAGGGGCACTGAGTAGCAGGAGGGTTTAACTTTAGCCGAGATGTTGCGACACATTCAGGGCAGAGGAAACTCCCCCTTCCCTCAGCCCAGGCAGTGCCTAACTTGGAGACACTGAGACCATTGGTTGGAACGGCCACCARGCCCCGGGTGTGAGAAACAACGGGCGGCTGATGGACATCCCCATCTGTCCTCGGCATGGGGGTGGGTGAAGCTGGATACAGCGCAGTGGGCTAAGGAGGCAAGAGGGCCGCCTGGAGAAGGTGGCYGCCGCGGCCCGCTCCTGTGGTGGCTTCTCGAGGAGGTCCTGGTGCACGAGCAGGGCCGCGCGYGAGCGCCGCCGCTCTCACAGTGAGCAAGATGGCGGGGAGAGGGGCATGTAGCACGTGGAGCGAGTCGTGGGCGCCCRCCGGGGCCCTGCCACCGCCGAGGGCGCCATGCGGCTCCTCAGGGAGCGGGGAGGATGCCCCTCGTCAGCCCGCGGCGCTCCGGGCTGCCTCTGCCCGGTGAGGAATCRCTCAGGGCCTCCGAATCCTGGTTCTGGCTGGAGTTCTCCAGCTCCTCAGAGTCCTTCTTCTCACTGTTCCTCACGGCAGCCTCCAGGGCCTTCTGCTTGCGGTAGAAGTGGGAAAACTTGTTGAAGATGATGGTGATGGGCAAGGCCACCACCAGGATCCCACCCAAAATGCAGCCCGAGGCCGCCAGCTTGCCGGCCACGGTGACGGGCACCACGTCGCCGTAGCCCACGGTGGTCATGCTGACCGTCCCCCACCACCAGCAGGCCGGGATGGTGTCAAAGCCGACGTCCTCCTCCTTCTCGGCGGTGTAGGCCACGCCGGAGAAGACGGACACCCCCACAGCCAGGTAGAGCAGCAGGATGCCCACTTCCCTGTAGCTGTGCTGAAAGGCAAAGCAGAGGGACGGTCAGCGGGGCCGGTGTCACCATCGGAGCAGGAAACTCGGGGGTCACTGTGTGASCATAAAGCAGCCCCCATGCACTGAGGTCCTGATGGTCCCATGTGACTTGGTGGCATCGGTGCTCACAGCCCGGCGTGTGCTCACAGGGTGCTGGCCATGGTGACCGCCCCTGCACCCATGCACAGCCCCTGCAATTAGCCTTCCCCTCTCCTCTCCTCCTAGCAGCCCTTTCTCCACCCTCCTAATGCAGCCTGTGAGGAAGAGATTCCAGGAGGGGAGGGAATCCTGGGCTTCCCAGCACCAGCRCCTCTCCCCGGGCCTCCAGCACTGCCTCTAACCCCATCTGGGCTAATAATGTCCAGACACGTTTTCGTTTTGCCTTGGCAGGTCCCCAGGAACCGTCTAACAGGCAGCCTCAGAGCAAAGCGATTGGCGTCTCCTTGAGGCGCCCGCGATGTGTGAGCAGAGCGGATGTGCGTCCTCGCTGCAGGCTCCRCTCGAGCTGTGACCTGTGCTTTAGCCCGCAGTGCCCTGGTGTCCCCACGAGCCCCAGCTCRACGGCTGAGGGCTGCTCAGCTCCTGCAAAGTGTCCACTCCCTCCTGCACTGGGACACCGTCTACCAGTGTAGATGGTGGTGATGGGATGCTCTTCAGACGTGCTCTTTCCTGGCTTGCACAGCCCCCCCCCCCATGTCATGCTTTCTGTGCCCCTTTTCTGCATTCAGGCATGACGTGGGCTTTTAATTGCTGGCATTTCTCTGTTAGCTTTAACAAGGGGCTGAGCAAGGTGTCGCTGGGGTCATCTGTCCATCAACGAGGGCTTCCTTCCCATGCAGGGAGCTGGGAGGTGACACAGCTCAGCCCTACCTGCTCCTGCTGCCCCCCTGCAAATTCCAAATTCCTTTTTCCTCCTCACTCGTGTGGAGGAAAGGGAGAGGTGCTGCTGCAGCCCTAGCTCACCCAATGTACACAGAGCAGGTGCCGCAGCAGCCCGAAAGCACCGCGCGCTTCATCCTGGTCCCCATTGACAGAGGGGAACAACCCCATCGATCCGCAATGAAGGAGGAGCGAGCAGGGGGTAGTTCTTGGGGGAAAAGTGTGCTTTTTCTTACAGAAACCGCTCTTTCGGAGATAATTACCTTTCCCCTCAGGTTTTGTTGCTTCTCTGCGGGAGACTCCAAGCAATCGAAGCAGCCCTGGCCATCAAATCGGCCTGTGATGCTTTGGCTGGGGACCCGTCATAGAGCTTGGGGCTGCTGAGCTGCACTGGGGCCTCAGCCCCCATCTCCACGACAGGCCCTGGGCTCACRGCTGTGCATCCAGCTCCAAAGGGACCAAAGTGTATTGAAAAGCTCCTGAGGAGTCCCTGGCTCCCCTTCTCAAACTGGAATATTTTTGTTGCACCTTTTCTTTRGTATTTTTTTCATTTTTTGAGCAAAATATAAGCACATGCTGGAAAAATGAGGGGGAAAAATGTGAGCAAATGGGACTGGCAGCAGGTGAAGCTGGGAAGGTGATTGAGAGAGGACAAGTTGTGAGAGGTCAGACTGTAATGGACCAGCTGTGGTGATGGGGCTAAATTAGGAACAGATTGTGTCCCTGCTTTGTGTCCTGCAAGCTGTGGGCTAGCAGCTCTCAGTACAGCAGGGATGGACATGGGTTAAAATCCAAATGATACCAAAATGATGAATGGAGCGGCGATTTCAGAGTCCAGAAATGTTCAGAGAGATGGAGATGTAGGGGAAGCAGCAAGGAAGGAAGCCAAAGGAGAAGACCCTGAAGGAGAAGCCCTGCTAAAGGCTTTATGGGAGACCTTATTATGACTAAAAGAAATGTTTGAGAAAAACAAGCAGCAAAAGATGTGGGGAAAGGAATTTCCATGGTCAAGATGAGAAATAAAGGAGGCAGATTCACAGCAAGGGTTAAGAAGTTATATCCTCCTCCTTCACCACCATCAGTGGTGTTTGCAAATGCCTGGTAGCGATTTCAGGTGAGGTCCTTGAGGAGGACAAACAGCTCAAAGTCGCTGAGTTTCAAGTACATCTTAGCTGGCCATAAAACACTTGCTCCTGGCTGGAGCTGAACAAGCGCATCTATAGGTCCCAGGCTGGGAGCAGCAGTCAGATCCCTTATGCATTTTTAAAGAGTATCCTTTACGTCTCTGGGATGTGTTGGAGGGCAAAGGGGAGGGGGAATTCAAGCAGTTCGATAGCAGTTCGATAGCAGTTCGATACCAGTTCGATAGCCCTGCCCGATTTACAAGCAGGGCCAGGGCTTGCAGCACACCAGCGGCTCCAGGAATCTCCTGGCTGATCTTCAGACTCTGTTTGCTGCCTGTTTGCAGCCGTTTCTCCCCAAACCGTGTGGTTCTCTCATTGATCCAGAGGTAAGGAGCCGTGGGTGGGCACGCTGGCCCAGCGAGCAGCCGTCTGTGGGGACAGAGACCCCGGCCAAGCACACGCTGCAGTGAAACGGCCTCCCCGATGGTCCTGACACTCTTCGCCCTTGCAAGATCTAGGGCTGCTTTGCAGCCCTTCCCTTGCAGCTCCTTCCCCACCTTAGAGTGTGCGGGGCTTTTTCCTCCATGCAACAGAAGAAAAATGCAGTGAAAAGGGCCCAGCTGGAGCCCCAGGGTGCTGGCCAGGGATAACAGCGTGGGGACCACGCAGGGAGGTGGCWGCCAGACCCCGCTCTGGGGTGGCCACTGCTGATGCAGTGAAGGCAGGATGGTTCATCTGCTCCCTGGGGATGWGCAGCTCCTGCTCTGCTGGTTTATTTGTATGTTTAGGCCCCTCTGGGGGCAAATAGCAACTWGTGCAGATCTTAGTGGGTGGCTGAGTTACTAAGTGCCTAACACCTATTGCCTGTCAGTGGGAGACAGGAATTAAACCTGAAGCTGGGAGGTAGAATAGCTACAACAGATGCCAGCAGGAAGGAGGAAGGGAGCGCAGCGGGCAGCCCCGCGAGGCTGAGGAGGAGCTGGGGCCGAAGAGCATCAGCCCGTGTCTGGGAAGCGACGCGGCTGGATGTGGCTTGCACAGGGCTGCGTGTCACCCAGCAAGACTGCATGGATGCAGGTGAAGCCGCTCCTCAAATGAAACAGCCCCTGGATGGAGCCCTTGGCAATGGGAAGGCCATTCCGAGTTTAGGACGCGCAAATGGCAGAATTCCCTCTGCCTGCRTCTCCGTCTCCGCAGCAGGGAGCGATTGCGCCGCTCGCCGCAGACCCCGCTCCCGCTTCCCGCCTGTTAGCGGGTTTCATTCCCCCGCTGCTGCTTTATCCACTTGCAGGAGGAAGCAAATTATGATTAACAAGATGTGGTAATTTATGTGCCCGGTAAATCACCACGCCGAGCTGCTGCGTCAGCCTCGTGTCTTCGCTCATTCCCGTTTACGGCTGGCTCCAGAGTCCCAAGAAGCGACGCTTCCTCTCGCGTCACTCGGTGAATCAGCGGCTCAGCGAAGGGCCAGGGCCAGGACACTCGTKAGCCCCGCATCTTGTCTGCTGCTTAATAATTAGCAGATGAGCCTGAGTCCCTGCCCTGCTGCACTGTGTCATCGCCCCTAAAYGGAGCATTGAGAGGGTGCAGGGAGYGCTTCCGCATGTATAATTTTATTTTAATTCTGCAAGCTGGTGTAAACGGTTTAAGCGCTCTTCCAAGGTGAGTTTTCAGAAAGAAAGAAGAAGCAGAAAGGAGTTAAGGCTTCTTCCTTTTCGAACAGTCCTCCCTTGCCCACACTTGCACCAGGCTTTAAGGCTTTGGGGCGCATTCCCAGCTTTTCTGATACCCTGCGGGACTTCCAGGTTAGGTGCTGTCCTGAGCAGGTCCTGCTTCCCAGCAGACGGCAGCAGAAGCCCTTTCCTGCTGCCTCTCCATACCCCAGGCTGTCCCAGCGGCTCCTCTTTGCTGGCCTCTCCATCAAGACACACGTAGTGTGAGTGCAGCGAGTTGGGGCAGGGAGGGCCAGGAGGGAGCTCGCAGTCCAGACAGACGCTGACCCGTTTCTGGTGGGAAATCACCATCCGCTGTGTGCACCCACCAGGGTCTCAAGGGCTGCTTGAGACCCTGGTGGCACAAGGCCTGGGTGAGGACAGTCCCCACCAGTGCTGTGAATTCCTGTGTGCTCGGAGTCRGAGCATAACCTGGAGCACCAGCTTATGAGGAGCAGCTGAGGTTGCTGGTTATTTAATGAGGGGAAAAGGAGGTTCAGGGGAGACCTTATCGCTCCCTAAAAACTACCTGAAAAGAGGTTGGAGGTGAAGTCTCCTCCAACTCTAAGAGTTGGTCTCTCGTATGAGATAACTACTGATAGGACAAGAGGAAATGGCCTCAAGGTGCACGAGAAGTCTGGGTTAGATCTTAGGAAAAAATTCTGCATAGAAAGAGTAGTCACGCAGTGGAACAAGCTGCCCAAGGAAGTGGTAGAGTTCCCGTCCCTGGTAGTGTTCAAAGGACGTGTAGCTGAGGTGCTTAGGGAYGTGGTTTAACAGGCACTTGGGGACATGGTTTAGCAGACATGGTGTTGAAGAGCTTACGGTTGGACTCCATGATCTTGAAGGTCTTTTCTAGCCATAGTGATCCTATGATGCTCTAAGGAAGGCTGATGCAGTGCTCCTCAAGCTAGATTGGCTTAGCACATGCAAATCACCAGCCCCAAACCACCACCCCACCCAGAGCCTGTGGTTCAGCAGCAACGTCCCCTTGCCATCTGAGAAGGCACCTTCTTGCCCAGCCACTAAAGGATTAAGTAAGGAGATAGAGAGCTACTTTACCTTCAAGGTGGCCCCCAACGACCTGAGTCCCGTGGAGTGCCGAGCCAGCTTCAGCACCCGGAATATCCTCATGAGCCGAAACACCTGCACAACCTTGCCCAGGTTGCCCAGCTCCGAGTCRCTGCCCATGGTGACGTCCACCAAGAGAGTGAAGTAGAAGGGCAGCACCGAGACAATGTCAATGAGGTTCAGTGGGTGCTTGAAGAACTTCCTGGGGTTGGGCGAGAGCAGGAGGCGGGAAGACACTTCAAAGGTGAACCAGGAGATGCAGAAGTACTCCAGTTTGTGCAGGACGGGTTCGTCCAGCACGTTGCCATTCTCGTCCACCTCCTGGTACTCGGGCATGCTGTGGATGCACATGGTGGCTATGGAAACCAGCACCACGCTGATGGACACGAAGCTGAAGAGTTTGCTGGGGATGGAGTAGCCGGGGTTCTCCATGGTGAGCCAGAGGCGCTTGCGCACGTTGCCGCAGCGCAGCGTGCTGTAGCGCAGCAGGTCGTGGTTGATGTCGGATATCTCATCGGGAGAGGTGTCCACGCTGCTGACCTCGCTCTCCTCGTCCCAGTTGTGGTGGCGGCTCTCCAGCTTGCGCTCGTGGTAGCGGTAGCTGCAGCAGGAATCGAGGAAGAACTCGTTGATGCCCCAGTACTCGATCTCCTGGCAGAAGGAGAAGACGCACAGCTCCTCCATGACGTGCAGCTTCCCCGTCTGGTAGAAGTGGAGCACGTAGAGGAAGAAGCCCGGGTTTCGGTCGAAATAGAACTCCCTGGCACTCACGTCGTAGTCATCGCAGAGCTGCAGGATGGACTCCTCCGAGTCGCAGGAGAGCAAGCGGCCCAGGCGGGTGTCGGGGAACTTGGAGAGGGCGCTGGAGCTCAGCCTTCTCCTCAGTCCCCCCACGTTGATGTTGATAACGTCCTCCTCGAAGTCGGGAGCCCAGTAGTTTAAGGTCTTGTTGACCATGATCAGCAGAGCGGGTGTCGGTTCCACCTGCAGGCAACACAGAGCAGAGCTGGAGTGATGGGCGCCTCGGGCGCTCCCCGGGCATGGACAGGGAGCCCTCGCCAAAAGCACCCGGAGGTTTGGCCAAATCAAAGGGTTTTTGCAGAAGGTGCCGGTTGTAGGGGGGATTTCAGGGGGAGAAGCATCAAAACACTTCACCTGGCTGCTTGGTTTCATCCTGTGTGTTCTAGCATGTGAAATACTAAGATTATTTTTACTGTATTGAAACACAACAATAATGATTCAGAATCATTGGYGACTGAATTAAAAAATGTACATTAGCAGGGAAGAAAAAAAATCAAAATTTTGATTTTTTTGCTTGTTTCAGGATGTTAAAATCACCAGCTCYCTGGAGCTTTCTGTGCAGCTCAGGCTGCATTTGCCAGTGCAAAATGATCAGAGCATCAAGCAAAGAAAAGTATTCCCCGCCTTGAAACATGTTTACCCATCTCAGGTGGAGATTCAAATTAAAAAAGCAGATGCTTTACTTGTGATCTCTTGTTGGACTCTGCCTCTCGTGTTTGTTAGGATGGGTGTGAGGGCGTCTGTGCCCTGTCTCTGCTCGCCAAGGCTCCTTGGCACGTTCAAAGCACTGCTTCCTACCAGGGAAGCCCTTCCCCTCTGCCCCTTGGGGCACCCGCTGGAGTTTTCCACCTTTCGGACAACGGAGACAGCAGGAACAGGGAGAAGAGGCTGCACCAACCACGGTGGCGGCGCTGGGATGATACCCGGGATCGGTCCCAGTGACACAGACCAGCTTCCCACTGCATGCCCTGTTGTTTGGAAAAGCCCCRATTCCGCCAGGTACCTGCAGCTCCCAGGGAGCAGGACCCTGCGTGGGCCTGTGGTGCAAAGGCTGCAGGGGGAAGAGTCTGCAGCTTCCCCCGGGATATGGGAATGCTGCTCAAAGCAGCAGCCTGGGCGCTATAGGGCTGGAGGAGGGACTAGGAGAAACCTCTGAGCTTTRGGGACTCCTCATCTCCCTGCTCAAAAACATTCAACTTTCCCAACACTTAAGACAAAAGCCTAGGAGCGAGGGAGGCAGGGAATGCTCCGTTTCGGGGAACTGCTGCGGCACAGGAGCTTTTCCAGGGAAGACGTGCGCGCAGATGGGCTGCGATGACTAATGCGGGTGCCTTCCAGAAGGAGCTCGCGCGTGGGGGATCCCGCGTGGCCCTGCGCATCCGTCCTCCGTGCTCCCGAGCAGGAGCAGAGCGCCGGCATGCCGGGCAAAACACCACCAACATCCCACCGAAAGGCCTGGAAAGAAGGAACCAGCAGTGGGGCACAGCATGAGCCGGGATGGAGCATTAGGAAATGGCACCGCTTGGACATTCCCTGTCCTGCCACACGGAACCCACTCCCATGGGGACACAGGTGGGTGTCGGAGCCACAGGATTGAGCTGGGGGAATCCCTCCCGTGGGGAAAGGGCTCGGATCCCTCAGGGCTCGCTCCAATGCTCCTTCCTGAGAAGAGAAAGGATTTTTGGCTGCATCCACAGTTCGTCTGCAAACCCCAAGCAGCTGTTAAGCTGTTAACCCCTCTTTCTTTGCTCGCTTGTGGCAGGAAGAGCTAAGCTCACCCTTAAAACAAAACCGAGGTATGAACTAAGACCCGGCTCTATCTCCACTGCTGGATATCAAAGCGTGTCCCTGACCGGCGCCTGCAGGAAAATCCACTGGAAAACAGAAACTCGCTGGGGAAAGGTTACCTTTTTTTAAAAAAAAAATAAAGACACCAATGGACAGAGAATACAAATGTGTTTGTCTGGAGTAATGTGAATTGGCAAAATTTCCCTTTAGTTTGAAAAAAAAAATCCTTCCTTTAGACACTCACATCTTGGAATTCTTGGTTTCCTKTAGTCACCAAGAATCTCCATAAAACAGTGGAAAAAGAGAAAACATAGATAGTGCTAGCCTGATAAATGTTGACATGTAATGTAAGCTGTTTTAAGGAAACACCCATCAGAATCGCACAAGTTCAGTGTGAAGCGAGCGCTGGGCTTTCAAATGAATATGTATCTCGTGGAGAAAAAGAAATCTCTGATCTATGCATCTGTGACAGTAAAAAATATATATAATCCCAGCTCAAGCGTATCTGTAAGAAAGGCTGGAAGAGTTTCCCTTGACAACGCATTTCTTTCTTAAAGGCTTTCGAATGGGAGTTATGTATATTTATTCTCGCTGGCAGAGGGGACCCAGGGGAGGAGGAAGGAAGATGCTAATAGACGTTGGAGCGAGGATGCAGCAATGCACACGAGGGCTTTTCCGATCAGGTGCAATGGATTTAGATTGAGCCCCAATGAAAAGCCCTGTACTTACAGCTCGGCGAGGCTTCCCGGCCGGGAGTCCTGCGGCTTCTCCCCAAGGAGCCRCTGGGAATGGGGAGGGAAGGAGGAAACGCTCCTGCCGCTGCCCCTTGTTGCGCTGGGAGGAAAGTCCTGCCGGGGGTGCCCAGGGTGCAGGGGGGGATGAGGGTGCCCAGGAGGGGACAAGGGGCTGGCTGAGGTCCCAGCTCCCGCGGGAGGTGACGTCCTCGCTGGCCACGCGCTGGGGTGGCGGGCGCAGGGCTGGGGGGACGCCGGCTTTGCTGCCACCCCGAAGCGCCGCCGCGGAGTCGCGCGCCCATCGCTGCTGGCACGGGGATGCTCAGCACCCAGCCCTTCCCTGGGATTCCCTGGCGGAGGGTTTCCCTGGGGGGAGCGGGGAAGGGGTCTTCCTGCCTGCAGCCATCGCTGCTGCCTCGCAGGGAGCCCCTCAGCGCCCAGGGCCGGCAGCGGGGGCTCCCTGCTCCCTCCGGGGCACCCTGGGGTGCTGTCAGCAGCCCGGACCGCCTGCTCTGAGCAGGCAGCTCCGCAAATGCAGCGGATAATGCCCTGCCCTGTGCCAGCCTCCCTCTCCCCGCTCCACACAAGRGGCTCAGAGCCCTCCGGAGGGGACCCCGAACCCGCTGCCCTGTCCTGGGGGGCTCCCGGCGTGGGAGCAGAGCAGGGATTCCTCCAGCTGCCCGCACAGAGCTCCCGGGAGCGCTGCTGCTCCCCGTCCACCCGCGCTGCCGCTGCCCAGGCACAGCTCAGCCCCGCGCGCTGCTGCTCCGGCCCCTGCTCCCCTCCGCAGGGTGCCTGCCCCCCGGCCCCCGCAGCTCCCGGGGTGCCGGATCCCGCAGCGCCCAAGGTGCCGGATCCCGCAGCTCCCGGCGTGCCGGATCCCGCAGCTCCCGGGGTGCCAGATCCCGCAGCTCCCGAGGTGCCAGATCCCGCAACTCCCGGGGTGCCGGATCCCGCAGCTCCCGGGGTGCCGGATCCCGCAGCTCCCGAGGTGCCGGATCCCGCAGCTCCCGGGGTGCCGGATCCCGCAGCTCCCG